TGCAGAGAGGTCTATTAACACATAGTGAGTGAAAAGGGTGACTGAAAGGAAAAACTCAATGCATCATGGGAATCCCCGGCAGAAGTGACTGCATTGGGCAATCTTGAAAGTAGAGATAGTGTCTGTCTCCTGAATCAAACTGGAAGCTGGTCCCACGGAAGAGGGGCCTGAAAACTGAAGGCTCTGCCTGTCATGGTGCCTGTGCTCACCAGCTGATCCTGTATTAGGCAACATGTGTTTTTGATGTTTTTGCTCTCTCTCTCTCCTGCCGGGGCGATGCTCATTATGGGCTCCCCTCCCCGGGCCACGCACCTGCCATCTCCACACCTGCTGCCTATCTGCATAATCGTGAGCCCTACTTAAGATAGCAGCACTGTGCTAATCGTCGCTGGATCGTTGAGCTATCAGCATCAGTCGCTCAGTAGTTTGAGGATCAGAATCTGTGAGTTGTTTCCATCTGTTCGCCTCTAACTAAAGTTTATGTGTACAGATCTTTCCCGGACCTTTCCCTGCCTGCCTGTCATCTCGTGGACGAGTGTGTGGATTTGTGTAACCCAGTTGTGGAGAGAGGAGAGTGATTCTTTGGAGCGCGTCTGATCCCCTTCCTTTCCCTCCAGCACATTGTATATAGTATCACCTGGTGTTGTCTGTATCAATAAACTGTCTTCTCTACAAGGATTTCTGGTCTGTGCATCAGTCCGTTAACTGAACGTGACACTGCCTCCCATTCTACTTTTAAATACCGCCCCCTCGGCCTGTGCTTCGAGGTTTCTGGTAGTTAGAATGACTCGGGGGTGCTGATTCATTTAAACTAACATAATCATCCTGCTGCAACCAGGTTTCTGTAAGGCAGAGTAAATCGATTTGTTGATCAATTATTGAGTCATGTACTAACAGAGACTTGGAGGAGAGAGACCTCTTCAAACGCTTTGAAGTCTGGACTTTGTACCATTGCAACACCTTGATTGTTTTCATGGTCGACCTTTCAGATTTTCTTTTTTCCTCATATTTGACCCAATTTGAGTCAAGCTTTACCTGTCATTCAGATGGCCTCACATTTGACTCTAGAGTATTATGCTATACAGAGGAGGTTGTGGCGTGGTGATGTGATTGTTTCCATTGTTGTCTCATAGCAAGAAGGCCCTAAGTTATAATTTACTTGCTGAATGGTTGTCTGTCTCTATATATTACAATCAGTCATATGCAGAGTGTTCCCATCCTCTTGCCCTGTGACCAATGGAATAAGCCCCTGATTTGGATGGATGGATAGATATGGCTTAGATAGTTCATGGTCCACTCGAGGACTGCAAGATGTCTGGGTTTGCTCAAAGAAATGTCAAAACACCCAGGAGCAACATCTCAGTTTAATCTTCAGGCTTGTGAATGCTGATTATAGTACAATATGAAAAAGACTCCACAAGTATAGGTTCTTTGGAAGGATTTCCAGGTAAAACCTCTTTTCTTAAAAAAAGAACACGGAAGCACAACTTAAAGTTGCATATGAACAAAACACAAGACTTCTGGAACAGTGTTTGGATCAATGAGACCAAAAATGAAATCCTTGGCCATAATGCACAATTCCATATTTGGTAAAAACCAAAGACAGCAAATGTCTGGAAACAATCTAAAGCAACATTGTTACAAACAGGAGATCCACAAGCCATCGGATCCATTGAGTCCTGTGAAACACTTCTTACATGACCATATATCAAACAGGGTACTATTTTGAAATACAGTATGTTCATACTTCTTCCTACTCCTTTTCAGACCAAACATTGTTACATTATGTCAGACGATTTTGTTTTATTTCATTATATATTTTTTGTTTATCTGAACACATACGTGTGTGTGTGTATCTACATATATATTCGTATCTGTAAATGAAAATATATGTAGTGTGTATATATTGTTTTTTGTTTTATATGTCTGAAACAAATAAAGATACAATACAATACAATACAATACAATACAATGTGATCAATGATATTAGAGCTGAGACTTAGAGTGCATGACTCACCGCTGTGACTCTGTGTTGGTCCTATCCAACGATTCTGCCTCCTGTCTGAAACTGGAAATCAACAGTGAACATGTGTGTCAGCACGTTAGCTATGCCATACTCTGGTTTCTCTGTTGTGTGCCAATTAAAAACACTCCCAGAAAGTTGATTCTATTCATCGGTACATTTACAAAGTGACCAAATCTAGCACCACTGGCTAACAATGGGCTGTGAGGTCAGTTGCATGATCATTAATATGCAAATTGTCACATGACCACTGATCAATACCATGAGTACCATCCACACAGAGATGACTATGGCTGCAATCACATCATTGTAAGATGGTGACAGTTGTACCCTTAGGCCCCCTCCTTGATTCAGAGATGGTCTTTTCCAGAGATGGTCTCCTCGACTCCTTGATCCTCCTGGCACTTACCAGTGTACACTATATTACTCTGCTTGTGCCAATGGAGCAGATCCTTGGGGTGATTTTTTGCAAAATGATCCTATTGGTCATTGTGCAAATGTACTGTTTATAATCTTGGGGAAACCTGGAGTCAGCTGAGACTAAAGAAGTCACTTGGATTAACGAAATGGTCCCCTCATTGAAAATGCCATTTCCAGATGAGCAGAATGAACTTTCTTGGATTTCACTATCTGAATGACTTCAATTTGAATCTGAAGTCTTCCAACAGCACGTCATCTATTCTATTTTATTCTGAAAAAGACCTGTGGACTGTGTGTGTACTCACATCTCTTCTGCAGGGCTTTTACAGTAGGCCTGGTGAAGCGCATCAGGAAAAGGATGAGCAATATGCAGAAGAGCAACGCTGTCATCACTTTGTAGGTCTTCAGCTGTGCCGCGTCCTTCTCAGCTGGACACACACAAACAGGAAAACACACATATTATCTGAATAGCACATATACTGTATGTATAAAAGCTGGTATTCTGTGTAAAGTACAAATAATAGTTTAACGCAATAGTATACAGATAATTTATTTATTTGATAATAGTACAAAGGTTTGGCATCATCTTTTTGAAATAACTAACATTTTTGTGAAGAATCTGCATATGTTGCTCCTAAACCTGCCATGTAGCATTAATGTGGTTTTACACAGACTGCTCCACGTTTTTATCAGAGTACAGCATGAAGCCAGTTAGGCTTTTGGGAAGTTGCTCTCATCAGTTAAGTAGCAGAGGGGGTCATTAATTAGTTTCAGCTTCTACTGTGTTCACGACATTACCAACATGTTCAGGAACAAGAATGAGACAACCTCCAAAACATGAATGGTTTTACAGGTGGAGGCCAATATTTTTCCTTCCTCATCTTTTCTGACTGTTTTTTCACTAGTTTTGCATTTGGCTAAGGTTGGTGTCACTACCGATAGCATGAGGTGATGCTTGGACCCCACAGAGGTTGTGCAGGTAGTCCAACTCCTCCAGAATGGAACATCAATAAGTGCTATTGCCAAAAGGTTTGCTGTGTCTCCCAGCACAGTCCAAGAGAAAGGCAGATAGGGCTGTAGAAGGTCCTTAATCCATCAGGAGGACCGGTATCTGCTCCTTTGTGCAAGGAGGAACAAGATGAGCATTTCCAGAGCTGCAAAAGATCCTTTGGCAGGTAACCGATTCTGATTGTTCTGACCAAACAATCAGAAACAGACTTCACGAGGGTGGCCTGAGCAGGCAACTGCCTCTAGTGGGCTCTGTGCTCACTGCCTGGCACCATGGAGTTGGACTGGTATTTGCCATAGAACACCAGAACTGGCAGGTCCACCACTGGCACAATGTGCTTTTCACAGATGACAGCATGTTGACTGAGCACATGTGACAGACGTGAGAGGGTCTAGAGAAGCACGCTGCCTGTAACATTCTTCTGGATGACCGATTTGGTGCTGCATCAGTGATGGTCTAGGGACACATCTACATGATGTCACAGGCCTCTACAGGCTTGGCAACAGCACCCTGACTGCCATTAGCTTTCAGGATGAAATGCTTGCACCCTTGGACCCTACACTGGTACACATTCCTCCTCATTAGGAGCATGTCCCAATGTTGTCAGGCATGCATACAAACACATGGGGGCTTGTGTGCATGCTCTATTGCTGCAAAGAAATTTAGGTAAAATGGACTAGCCCGCAGCACCTATCTTTGAATTCAGTCCTCTGTAGGGTGATAATTTACATTTCCATCAAACAGTGTGAGATCTTCTCACTCCCCGGGCCATATCAGTTTAGATATCCAGCGTGGTTTGTTTCCCCACTGAGATCTGATTTCTTGTTTTCCAAGTCTTCCTGTGATTTTTTTCAGCATATTTATAGAAAACAAGTTGTCAGCTGCACTAAGGGAAACCACAGCATCATTTCCACCCTAAATGTGTTTGTGAGTGCAGTGACGACCCATGTTTACAGGTAATGTTTGCTAGTGTTTCTGAGGCCTGGCATAAATTAACAGAATCAATATAGATTCATGTATTTATTTTCCCTCAGTGCCGTCTAGACTCCAAGATCACAACTGGTTTCGGTTGTCGATCATAAATTTAAAAGAGTATCACATGTGTTGCAGTTCTTAAATGCACAACTTAAAGTCTGCAGAGAAAAAACAAGTCAAACCACACGACATGAAATTGGCACCGTTGAACATCTACAAAGATCTGCAGAGAGCAGACCAGCCTTTGACCCACAGCACAGGCTGGCATGTTGTTTGCTACTCCAGGGCTCTAGAGTGCGACCAATTTGGTCGCAAATGCGACCAAATTTTTCAGTGGTGCGACTAAAAAAATACCATTTATAACACCTGTGCGACCAAATGTTCGGGTAGCAAAAAAAAAAAAAAAATCTGCAACCTTCCCTGTGGTCAACAACAGACACACATTTTGCCCCTATAGTGGACTAAACCAATCAGAGATAGTCAGGGGCGGGACCTCTCTGATTGGCCGTGGTCCAGTTGAAAGTGCAGGTGGAAGAGAGAGGTGAGTAGCTGGAATAAAGCGATATCGATTCATTAAATCCTGAATCGACTTTTAAATATAACTGTGTTTTGCCAGAAACGCCAGATTCTCAGATTAAAGCTCACAAAACCATTTCAACAACAACCAAACAGCAGATGAGAGCAGGTACACGGACTCCACACAGAGACGTAAACACAGACCGACGCATCAGAATCAGCTTTGTCTTTCTCGGCTTTCTCACCCGACGGCTCGTAGACGGACACGCTGTCGGAGCTCAGCGATCCTGATGCGTCCGGTCCGCTGTGTTTACGTCTTTTTGTGCCGATTCTGAGCTGCAGGTTTTGTCTCTCCAACCAAAATTCACCGAGCCAGCAGCAAAAGAAGCAGCAAACTGCGCTTCACATTTGATCAATGTCGTCATGAATTTTGCTGTTTTGCTTCCACGACTATTAAAATCACATCCATGCACAGCTAGCTCTCTCTCTCTCTCTCTGTACTTCAAGAACAGTTTCCGTCTCCAATCTCTGTTTTCTGTATTATTCATTCACTTATTACCCACCAGTCTACCGTTGTTTACAGGCTGTGGCTGCTGTCTTTTTCTTTTTCACTTAAATGACCTCGGACAAGAAAGCCTATTTTTTCTGTTGTTCAGTACTGAAGAAATTTAAACTTTATATGCAGAACATTGCAGAATATTTTTAAGGTTATCTGCTATAAAAAGCATGACCAGCAAAATCTCCTTCATGTTTTTCTGTGTTTTATTCTCAGTTACTTTCACACAAAGGCATCTGCTGTGATGTTCACAATTCTGATGAAGTCAGTGCTGATAAATGATCAGAGTTATAATATTTCTGACTGTCTGAGGCTAAGTTGAATCGAATCAGGACTTTGAAAACCAGAATCGAATGGATTATAGAAATCAGTGATGATACCCAGCCCTAGTGAGCAGCCGAGGCACGACAGACGTGGATGTAGCTGTGATAGGAAAAGAACTATTGCTAACTTTTCTGTTAAGGCCTGATCCTTCTGAAATTCATAGCCAGTGCTCTGAGATGGTGTCATCAATCTTTGAATGCTGAAAAAGCCCAGTGTATCCAGAAAAACACATTATATTATATCAATTATTAGAAAATCTGTGTGCGCCTAACTTTTGTGCCAGTACGCCCATGGCAAAAAGTTAGTCTAGAGCCCTGTACTCTCTCAGTAACGCTGTCACCTTGATGATCTCTGCCTTCAATCCAATCCAGCTATGGCTCTCTGATCTGACACACATCTTTCAAATGATGCCTGAATTGTGTTTGTTTTTTTGTTTTTGTTTTTTGACCAAACAGGAAGCGGTGGATAGAAAATGCAGGATTACCACAACATTACCTTTACATTTGGCTGAAGAAGTGACTGCATTGGGCGCTTTATTCACAACGTTTGTAGTTTTAGAGGTGGTGGCAGTTGTCACAGGACTGCTAGTCAGGGAAATGGAGCTGACAGTGTAGTTTTCAGTTTGGGTATGGTCTGGAGTTTGGGTATTTCCTGGAGGACACATATCAGTTAGTATATATAACAAAAGTACAACAATAATGAATGTGTCCCCCTGTTGTGGACTTCAGTATGTGGACTAGAGACGCTGTGAATCAAACCTTATGAAGACGACCTGCAGGGAAGAATAAAGTTACAAGAAACATGGAACAAAATCATACATTTACAAGAGAAACAAAGATATTCTTTAAGATTATGTTTGTGAGAAAATAAAAAACAACAAACGAAAAGATTTTTCAAGGAACAGCATCCTTAAAGTTTATCTTCCATTGGACGGTCGTTGCTGTGAAGCTGACTATGACCCAGCTAAGCTCCTGCAGATTACAGCATATAAACCTTTGATCCTCATCAACTGCAGACGCACATTCAGGACCTGCTCTACACTGTTCCAAAAAATAGTAATGTCACAGCATCTTACTGTATATTTTACAGTTTTGTCTTTCTAGAATATCATTACATTTACATAAGTAGACGGTGACTTTACATGTCAAAGGTAAAATAACATCACTGTAAATATAGTAAAACACAATTTACTTGTTTTTTAAATATATTTTTTGTACATGTGCATATTTAGATTGTAAAGATACATTCAGAAATGTATCATAATCTCACAAATATTTGTCTGTTATGTGAGAGCAAATCGAAAATTAATGAGAATAATCAATAATTAAAGGAGCATTTGAATTGTAAGTTTGCTGAAAAGTTCATGTCATCCAGGTCTGATTCAATAATTCAGAGGTAACAAGTGAAAATATAATTAATAGGAATAAAAACATAAAACATTGCACGGCCACGCTGTGCTAATTATATATTTTAAAAAATAAATGTAGAGGTAGGAATTGCAATTAATATAAATCTCAAAGTATTCCCAACATACCTGAACAGAAAGAGGCCTCTGCACCTGGGGGGAGGGTGTGGCCATGAAAACAATGTGACATGCCATTGGATGTTGGGACACATGACGCTAAGCATCGGCCAATAAATGTGAACTAACAACCACAAGGTTGCGGGTATGACTGCGCTGTAGGAAAATCCTAATGTGAAAGTATTTTACTGCATTTTACAGTTTTGTAAATAAATAAACCACAATAAAGAGGCCTCGCCTCTGTCGGTCTGACCCAGGGCATGCAATCCATTATTATTTACGTTAACTGTATATTTCTGTACCTTTAAGTATTATGATTCATATTGCCACATTCAGTGACCTTGTTTACAGGTAATTTCATTGTTTGATCACATTAAAATGTTCCTAATTTAATGTCTAAAAGCACTTGGAAAAGACAGAATCCCATGTGAAGTGAGCCCTATTTACATTACTGGAAATAACCGTATTTTCATGAGGAAGTTATTTTGCGGTGGTATTTTGGCGCCCCAGCTGCTGGACTATTACCGGTTTTATAAGATGTTTTTTTTTAACAGTGTACTCAAAGCACTTTGGAAATTGGTGAAACCAGAAGAAAAGACTTGATGCTACAAATTTATAGTTTTGTGAATTTTGTCCCGCATGTTGGAAATGTTATTTTTTAGAGCCGTAACAAACTGTAAAAAATGACATCAAAGTTCATTGATGGATATTTAGTTTTTAATCAGCGATGACTTTCTTAGTAAACTAGTAGCAGGTACGTGAGCTCTGATGTGTTTTTAGATATCACCTTCTTATTCTTGAAACACCAGAAACCATCTTCTATTTGGTGCCGCTGAGCTGTAGTGGTGACACAAGTTTCAGCGGCATGGATTTCAAAGCCTCTGCAAACAGAAGTGAAACTATGTGCACGACTAAACCGCTGTAGGGAAACATGTACAGATAAGACCTTTTTATATAAAGATGAACAGTACAGACTGACCCACATTTCAAACTTATCTTACTAATAAAATATGCTAATTTTTTCTGGAATACATACAAAACATTTCATATGTATGCATGTTATTTTTAATTTATTTTTACTGGTATTTTTTTCTTATTTATTTTATCATTTGGCTTGTGTCACAGTCGAGGTCTGTGTGGATCACGACAAGCAGATCAAAATGGCCAAAGAGGCTGACGGCCCCTCTGAAGCATTTTCTCTGTTTTCTGCAACAGTGTCGGGCAGCGATCATCCGAGGACCCTGAAAGCACCACAGGTGACCTTTGTAGACGGTCTAAACCAGGGGTGTCAAACTCAAATACACAGTGGGCCAAAATTCAAAACTGGAACAAAGTCACGGGCTAACGTTAATATTTATTGAAAAAAAAAAAACTTCCTCCAGATTTAAGAATGAATCTTTTCTTATGGACTCAATTTTTGCTGAAACACTGAATATGGAACAAGCAAAGCTTAATACTAAACAATATATATATATATTAGCTGTATAATACCAGTAGGCCAGCTCTAATAGTCATTTGGTATGGCTTCGCGGGCCAAATGTAATTAGGCTGCGAGCCAAATTTGGTCCGCGGGCCAGAGTTTGACACCTGTGGTCTAAACTAACATCACATCTTGCATTCACCTTGATTTTATTCCCTCTTCCTGCTCAAAATGAGTCTTTGTTAATATCTCGAACTCATTGTCTCATGTTATCGATCCACCGCTCAGGATCATTGTGCTGCTGAAGTAACGCGCCGATACTGAAGTATCTGTGGGGGGTATTTAAGTACGCTATATTTTTCCAGCACTTGCTTTTACACTACAAGCCACAATCACACATTTATACAGTGCTTCTTCTTCTGTTACCTTTACTACACACACTCGCACCAACAGATAATCAACAGTTCAGTAACTTGCTCAAAGATATGAAGGAACTCTGCAGAAACCGGGAGCGATACTCAGATTAGTGGACGAACGCGGTGCTAAATCGTATCTGCCAGTAAAACTAGTGTTTAATAAGAGTGCGCTTTTCTCTGTCAGTTAAAGCAGGTTTCAGACTCACTGATGTCATTTCTAGCTTTTGTCTCATTCCAGGTAAATTATTACCTGTAAAAATGACTCACAGCACATCGTTATCTCTCCATATATTTACTTTAGTAACTAAACTCATGAAGATTTGTAGATTAAATAAGATCAAAAGTCCAGCTGACGGTTGTTTCTGCAGTGCATCATTGATGCCTGAAAGAGGGCAGCTACAACACATCGCACAGGCTGTAACTGCGCTGTGGTGTGAGCGCTGGTGATACTCGGTTGTAATAAAAATGAGTTCATGACCGTTTTACAGTTCACAGCAGTTTACCATTGATTTGTTGCATTGGTGTTATGACAGCATTTTTTATTTTGGTTAGAAAAATATCTTTTTCTCATCACTATCCATTCCAGACTAGCGATCGACACAATAGTACGCAGCACCCTGAATACGCAGTCAGTGGTGGACAAACTCGGCCCAGCTGCTGGGATATCACAATATCAGCATGTTGGTGAAGACAAGAGTCATACGAGCAGCACACATTAATGACGAGTTGGCACCAGAAATGTTTTTCCTGTGCTCAGATTAAAATCAGTCCAAAATAAAAGAAAGATGAAGACAAAGGATGATTTGGGCGATACTTTGCTAACAGCTTCCTAGTTCACTAAGATAACGACGAAGGTTTTGACGCTGAGTAAAACCAGCAGGATTGTAAATGCAGGGAGGATTTGTGCTTGTGTCGGTGGCCTTTAGCTGTGCTCTGTATTGTTTGCATCATCACGCACTGCATGAAATAATGTGCAGCAGACAACATTTAACCTTTGAACTCTCTTATTTTAATGGATGTGAATAATCTGCATCTGGTCTCTTTATTCTCACGTTATTTGTAACCATCTTCTGTCTGTTTTTGAGGTGTTATTTTATTCTGTTTTTTACTTCTTTCCCCGTTTAAAACAAGTTTAAAACCATGTTGCAGTCACGCGTGCTTGGTGCAAACACACAAAATAAAACAGTGTAAAAACGATGCTTGAAAACTTCCTGCATGCAGTGTGGGTGTCTCCTGTAATTTATATTCAGCATTGTTGTTGCATGATGTTCACAGAACCTGAACAACCTTAAAGCAAATCAGATTTAAACATCCCACATCGATAGTTTTCAACATTTTCCAATCGTGTGAGCAATGATGATGCGAAACAGACAAGAATTAAATGTTTAATAAGAGGCTAAAATATATATTTAAATTTATTTTAATGTTCGAGTGTTTAACAGTAATTTTCTTATTGTCCTGGTGTTATCGAGCTCACGGCTTTATAAGAAAAATAATGAATTTCTCAGGTTTACGACAAACTTTGCGATGCTTGAATTCAAATTGACGCTTCTGTCAGCAGTTTACGGTCAGTAACAGCTTTTCATTAAAAACAAGATTTTAGGTGATGGAAGGATGAAAGGCCGATCAGACCTGCCAGGCTGTGGCGACGGTCGGCACAAAATCACCTGGATAAAAAGGTGAAGTGGAAGAAATGAATTAGAGGTCTCAGAGAGCGGGTCAGACGCCAGCGCCTTCAATGGAACGGCGCTCTGCACTCGCAGCAGCAAACGGACTGACACTGGAAGGACGACCCACTGACACCATGCTGGTGTGTCTCTTGTCTGTGTTTTATTTCCCAGAAGCCGTTTTTGTTGGAGTGCATTGTGAGGCTGACTGGGCCACACCGATCTTTGACTCTCCTGCAGGTTTTCACTACTGATGGCAAATGACATGACGCACAGCGTTCCTCTCCAACGCCTGACGTGTGATATGTTAAAATGACTTTGTTGTTGAAAAGAGTAAACATGCTCAGTGCTAGTTTCCTGCTGCTCCTTTTGTTTCCATGTCTAAAGTATTTGTGAGTGTTTAGGGTCCGTGGACCACAGCTTTGTGCTGCTGGGAGACACTGGAGCCCACGGCGTCAGTGCACATGTTAAACTCGGTGAACAAATAGGAGGCCAGTATTCACATTATCTTTACTATACGTACTGTACTATCTTTAGTATTTTAAGTTTGTGGGGTGAAAATAAGTGTTTGCTGCTGCGGAGGTCTGCTTCACTTTTTGAGGAAGCACCTGTTAGCTAAGTTCAGCTCCACAAAGAGGCCTTCAGCAGAGGAGCAGGACGCTGCTGCTCAAAGCTTTGAGTTCTTAGTGACGCTGACAGTATTTAGCTCATTGTTGGTGGTGTGGTAGAGGAGACGCTGCCAGTTAGGTGAAACCAATACGATGAGATACAGCAGACTCTCCGGACTGTAAAATATCCAAGTTAATTATTGGTGACACGGACGTGTTCCCGTGAGTTAGTAACATAGTGACCGCTACCTTTATAGTCGTTACTATAAAGGTTACAATGCAGGTCACTGAATGTTTTCAGCAGTGACACACGCACAACAACAGGGCTGACACTGTAAGATGGTCGTGTTGTTGTAGCGTGATGCAGTGATCACAGAGTCCTCCACACGCTCACTCTTTACCTGATGTTTGTTAGCATAAAATCAGCTCCGAGCGTTCATTCATCCTCATGGTGAATATATGACAACATGTCAAACCACGAGCTGCACATTACAGCTCTAAGCTCTCGATTATTGCTCGCTCATCAAGGTTTGTCTGATGAAAGCAAAGTTAAATGAAAGGACGGACTTTACTGACCTCTCGCAACAAAGTGAGGAGTTTATCTCGTGCCCCTAAGCACTGCGTCTACAATGCATCCACAGTTACAGCGAAATGAGACAAACCGGTCTGACTGAGAGGCCTGCTTTGCTTTTAGTATTCAGTTTGCCCCAAAATAAAGCAGACTTACCATTAGTCACAAGTAAGAGCGCAGAGATGATCACAAGAGCCCTCAGATCCATCACAGTATCAACGTGCCACCAGAAGGTAAGTGAGAAGGCAGACAGACGACACAAATCAGATCAAGGCAGCAACAACAGTAAACCTGATGTGAAAGGAAATGATGCAGAAGTGTCAAACTCCTCTGCCCTCCCTCCCCCTTCTCCAGGCTGTGAATCACTTCATCCCCAGCCTGCTGCTGCTGCTCGTGCTTGTGCAAAAGTGCAAATTTCCTCCCTTCAAAGCGAGCTGAGTGAAGAAAGGCAGAAAGGGGTGGGGAAAGTAGCACGATAAGAAGCGAGGAAGAAGGAAGGGGTAGGAGGAAGAGGTGAAGGGAAGACTTACGTGCATGTGTGTATTCATTTTCACTTCAGCAGTTCTGACTCACAAGTCTCTGTCGCCCGCCGAGTCCGACTGCAGCAACATAAACCTGTTTTCAGGTGGCGTCGCTCTCGGTTAGCTTTAGTTCTGAGGCTGAAATCTTACACTAGTGTGTCCCTCTGCTTTTCATAAAGACACCAACACACACACGCTGTGGAAGCTTCCTCGGACACCTGACTTTAGGGGTAACGAGCCCACACGTGTTAACATCTATACGTAAACACACATAACGTACATATTTACAGTCGTGGTCAGATGTTTACATCCACTCATCACGTGGTCGAATGTCATGTTAGTTTGGGGCTTTTCTTTTTCCAGGGTGGAACAGCTGTTCAGCTTTACAAAGAAGAGTTTATTTTGGATCATCCAAAATACATGAACTGTTTCTAAAGTATGTATTTATAAACCCCACTAACGTTTGGTTAAGTGTCTCTGTTGTAACTTGACTGGACATTTTTGTAGTCATCAACAACCCGCCTGACATTCAACCTCTCGAGCAGAGTTCTTTTAAAGTGGCTGGCTTCCCGGCACACAGCCGGCTTTGGGAAGGCCATTCCACAAACAGATTTGTGGTGAGCTTTGACTGTAATGAAACTGTGTTGTTCCTGTGGCTGACTAACTGATTCAAATATGAACAACACAGTTTATAAAACAATGTCTGCATCTTTATTCTCCCCCTTGAAAAAAATCCGTGCACACAGCACACTCGTAGAAGTAAAATTTACACAACACATTACTCCTGAATAAAGTGGGATTAGCATGAGGACACAAACTCTGTGTGGCCAGGATGGCTGCGTTTCTGCACCTCCCACATTAAACAATGCTCAAAATAAAATCAATATCGTATTATACACGATACTGCACATTGTAGATAATCTAATGTATAACAGGCTTACAGCAGTTTTAAGATAAGTTTAAATTCTTATAACACAGCATAAAGTCACATGACCTCTAAAATTCACACAGCATATTTATTCATTTTTTATTTTTTCTTCTCTGCATCTTTGTTGTGCATTTATTTGTTGTAGTGGTATTTCACATTGTAAAGCGATTTGTGCAGCCTGTTGGTAATGTGCTATATAAATAAATTTCAGTTCAGCTCATTTTTACTTCAAACATTTCAAACAGGTGCCTTCACAATCATTACAAAATATCATTCCATTATTTGTTTGAAAAGGAGTAGGCTGAAGTATTTACTTATTTGTCCCTACCCCCTCAAGTTTTACCTCTCATTCATTAAATTTTTTTTGTCTTAAATTAAACAAACAATAATAAAAATATATATTCGAGTAAAATCAAGTGTTGGCTTTTTTTAAATTCTCTATTTTTAACATGTTTGATTTTATTTTCTGTTTATGTTATTTGTCTATGTTTAGCACGTTTGATTTTAAAAGTTGGTGCTGAGAGTCATTCATCGTCACCCTTCAAAGGGACGCTGCAGCATGAAGAAGAATAAAAGCAGTGCAGCCATGTTATTAGCAAAACGTAAAGACAAGAAAACAAACTTAATACAAAGTTGTAACACAAAATACGGCACACTCAGACAGTATGTGTCAGCACACACTCAGTTTGCCGTGCTGTGTGCAGACACAGACTGGGGGGGAATACAGTTTGGCTGCTGGAGCAGAGCCGAGCATTGAGTTGGCTGTTTGGATTCATGAATGTAAACGTTTTCAGACATGACAAATTAAGATGTTTATACCAGGTTATGATAAATATTATGTGTTTACTTTATATAT